AAAAAAAAAAAAAGACATGTGGCTGGCCATTACATAGTTATCATTGGACATGGATTCTGCAGTTGGGTGGGTAGAAAAGGAGGGAGAAAGTAATATACAGAATGTAAAGCATGGACAAGATCACTTGGTTACTAAATCATTAACGAGCGAAGACCATGGTTTTCAAATGCACAAGTTACTGGATTTGTCATACATTCATTCTACTAAAATCTAAAGATTTGGAGTGGATTTGTCAGACAAGTTGCTGTGAAGGTGTGGGGAAGCTACGGTGAGGGACTTAACGAGGGCGATTATGAATTCGGGAAGGCATATGAGGTGGCTGAGAGCGCAAAATTGCAGCACATTGTTGAGATGGAGATGCAAAGGATGAAGTTTGCTAAGGAGTTGGAGTTGCAGAGGATGAAGTTTATGATGAAGATTCAGCTCGAGCTTTCGCAATTGAATGGGAATAATGGTAGTAATAGTAGTGACAGTAGAGGAGGCGGTGGTGGAAGTGGTGGCGGTGTTGGAGGTGGCGAAAGTAATCATATGAATCATCTCCATGAGAATCATATGAATCATGCTAATAGTGATAGTAGTAATTAGTAGTTCATTGTTGGTAGAAGTAGAGAAAGCAAGAGGAAAGGTTAGATCACATCTCTGTGTATTAGTTTGTTGATGAGCTAAAGATGATAAAAGTTTGAGTTTCTATTGAGAGGGAAAAGAGTTATTGCTCTGATTGATAACTTTTTTTTTTTTAATTCAAACGAGGAACAAAGCCAAAGAAAATAAAGGAAAACTAGCAAACTACAAACAAAGCACGCTATTACGGAGGAATAAAACGTGGTAAAGCCACGCCCCTAAAGTCCTCCTCTAAAATTCTAACGAAACATCATTGAAATAAACTCATTGAGAGTCTTGAACAACTCCGCGGTTGGCCAACCATCTCGATAGACATGGGCCACTCTAGCTTCCCAACTCGCACTAGTTAGCAACTGCCTTGTCAGCCACGAGTTGACTCAATCCCCACCTTGTCAGCCACCCTTGCCTCACCCGAGTTGACTCGTTCACCACCTTGGAGGGGTTTGTCCGGCTTATTGTACTTTTTTCTTCCTGGTTTCTTCACCAACATCCATGATCCAAAGTCTTCTTTCTCTTCAGGTCTCGGTTCCTGATTATGTAATGGATTATCATGGACAATCATTGAGGCATTACTCCCCTCCATCTTATGCAATGGACAATCCTCTTCTACATGGCCTAATTTTCCACAACCGAAACACACCATGCGAATGCCTTCATATTGAACTCTCCATATTCGCCCTTTAAGCCAGAATTTTGGCAATAGAGGTTTCGATAAATCTATCTCCACACTTAGCCTCGTAAATCGTCCACGTTCAGCTTGAGCAGTGGTTTTGTCAACCCTGGGTACTTTACCAATCTTTGATCCTATCTTGTTCAGAAAGTTAATGTCAAAATACTCAACTGGCAAAGTTGGAATGCAGGTTGGTACCAATGATTTTGGATCCAGGTTCCTTATTCATCAAATATCTGAATGAGATTCCATGTCCTTGTGGTACCCTAATTTCTTCAGCAATTTCCATGGAATTTCTCATGTTTTCTCCCTCTGCCTCAGCCATAGTTTCATCATAATGATTATCATTATTGAAAATCAGATGATTGACCTTTCTTTTCGGTTTCTTTTTAGAACGATCCAGCAGATCATTCTCTTCTGTTGAATGGAAATTTTCAGTAGCAGTGCCTTGGTTTTCCATTAGTTGTTCTTTTTTTTTTTGGTATTAGGCATTAATGTAATTTAGGTTGGGTTGACTTTGGTTCGGATGATTTCAATTCGGTTAAGTTCGGTTTGATTAAGACAAGGTTGGTTCAATATTTGGTCAATTTCGATTCAAATCCTTTCTGTGTTTGTCTAGATTTTGGTCGAGTTGACCAAATTCAATATCCAAATAAGGTAATTTCTAGACTAGAGTAATTATTGAATTTTTCCTTTATTATTGGGTCGATATCAAGTCATTTATTTGTCATCTCTCATATTGCATGGTTAATTAAGAGGGTGCCCCCATTACCCACTGTGAGAAACGTTTTTGTTTCTCACAGTGGCAGTTTCGTAAATAAAATGTATCACTTTAGTTACGGTGGTACATTTTATTTACGAAATGGATGGTAAAATTGTACCACTTTAGTCACGGTGATACATTTCATTTACGAAACTGCCATTGTGAGAAACAAAAACGTTTCTCTCACAGTGAGTAACAGAGATTTACGGGTTAATTATTACAAAATGCGAAAAAAAATAGTTTTCTCATTCAATCAATTCTTGTGTAATATTTATCTTGGAGCCAAATTTAAATTGAATAATTATCGATGACTTATCATACCTACGTACATAAGTGAAACGATTAGTAATGAACTAGTGATAGATTGATAGATTGATATATAGATGATAGTCACATACTCACATATAGTGATATACAAAAAAGAATGTCCTCTTTTTTAGTAACTACTCTTCAATTGTTTAATCTCATGAGGCTACAAGTACGTACTATTAGTTTGCTTTATTACTAATTCAATTTGTATAAGATTTTGTTAGAGTTTTAGACTTTCTAACTTATTAATAACTAGATGGAAGCCCGTGCAATTACAAAAGTTTAATATTTTTTTTTTTACTATTTATAATGAATTTATTAAATATAAATAAATTGTAAATATGATATTTTTTCCGTTATATAAAATCTTTAATATGAAATGATAAATTTTTAATAATTTAAATCCTAAATCATTATTCATTGTTTTACCATATCTTTTATTTTGATAGAATCACCAACCTCGTCCACAACCAACCAACTACATCAATGGATAACTTATGTTAGCCAAACTGAAATTGATATAAATTAAATCTTTATATTTATATAAAATAAATCAATATATTTACCAATAAATGAAAAATTGTTGCGATATAAAATCAAATCTATGCATTGGAATTTTTTCATCATCTCCAAAAATAACCAAAGTCATCCATATATTAAGTATACAACATCTAATCGTATGCCATTACATAAACAAATAATCGTTAAGTATCCTAAATAAATACAATGTAACTAATAATTACAAATATAAATTTAAACATAAGATTTTAAAAATTACTCGGACATTGATGACCTAAAACTAACACAAAATTCGCTTGATGGGGTTTTGTATTGATACGAAATTTTTATTTGTGTTGTATGATGTATTAGATCTGCATGTAAAAAAACATTTAGTAAATAAAACATAAACATATAATCGTTGAGTATCCCAAATTAATACAATGTAAGTAATAATTAGAAATACTAATTTAAATATAGGATTTTAAAAACTAAACTAAAAATTACCCGGCCATTGATGACCAAAAATTAACAAAAAACTACTAACATAAAATTCGCTTGATGGGGTTTTTTATTGATACGAAATTTTGTTTGTGTCGTATGATGTGTCAATTTATAATGGTAGATATCACAAATTTTAATTTAATTATAGTTAACGAACAATTTGTATTTCTTATCATAAATACTATCAAAATTTATCTTATAATGATAGGTATCAAACTTTATTATAAGCGTTTATCATTTAAATATTTTTTAGTATATTTTTTTTTAGATTTCTTATGCTCGTAGTATTGAATTAATAAATTTATGTTTTCCTATATTTTTACTTTATTTTTTTCATTAAAATAATTTAATTCGTGGATTATAATTTACGTGGCATTAAATTTTTAGATATATCAAATCTAATTCGTTACTTTTATCTAGATGGCGACATAAACAAATAATCGTTAAGTATCCTAAATAAATACAATGTAACTAATAATTACAAATATAAATTTAAACATAAGATTTTAAAAATTACCCGGACATTGATGACCTAAACTAACACAAAATTACTAACACAAAATTCGCTTGATTGGGCTTTGTATTGATACGAAATTTTATTTGTGTCGTATGATGTGTTAGATCTGCATGTAAAAAAATATTTAGTAAATAAAACATAAACATATAAATATACAATCGTTGAGTATCCCAAATTAATACAATGTAAGTAATAATTAGAAATACTAATTTAAACATAGGATTTTAAAAATTAAACTAAAAATTACCCGTCCATTGATGACCAAAAATTAACACAAAATTACTAACACAAAATTCGCTTGATGGGGTTTTTTATTGATACGAAATTTTGTTTGTGTCATATGATGTGCCAATTTATAATGGTAGGTATCACAAATTTTACAATTTTTATTTCTTATCATAAATACTATCAAAATTTATCTTATAATGATAGGTATCAAACTATATTATAAGCATTTATCATTTAAATATTTCTTAGTATATTTTTTTTGGGATTTCTTATACTCGTAGTATTGAATTAATAAATTTATCTTTTCCTATATTTTTACTTTATTTTTTTTTCATTAAAATAATTTAATTCGTGGATTATAATCTACGTGGCATTAAAATTTTAGATATATCAAATTTAATTCGTTACTTTTATCTAGGTGGCGACATATTTTTTTAATTCAAAAATAAAATACAAATCTTTCTTCTTACTTGTCGAAATAAGTATATTTCTTACGTGGCCTCCGAATGCTCTCCAAAAATTCCTACTTTATTTATATATATTAGATTAGTAAATTTGTAAATATATAGTAGTATAAGAACTTAAAAAAAAGGTCAATAATAATCGGTAAGGTTTAAAATTATGGTCGGGTTAAAATCGGGTCGGGTTACTATCAGTTAGGATTAAATCGGTTATTTGTCGGGTCTTTTCGGATCGGGTTGAGTTCAAGTCGGGTAAAATCGGTTCAGTTTGAGCTCAAGTTGGGTCATATTGGGTTCGGGTTGAGTTCAAGTCGGGCCAAATCGGTGCCGAGTTAAGTTCAAAATCGGGTTAAATTCGAATTTGGATTAAGTTCGGGTTGGTTACAGATCGAATTTGGATCCTGAATTTCTCGAGTCAAATCGAATCGGTTACAATTCAAAACGAATGTTTTTTTTCGAATCGGTTCGGTTTTGACACTTCTACTCATAAGACGACCCCCGTATCAAACAATAGTGTTACAAGTCTTACAACAAAACATTTACATATCAATCATATATGTATACAAAAACGTAAAGATAACAAATATACATGGAAATTTATAACCAGGCGGTAACGTGGGGTTAATTACAACAAACTATTTCTAAAATACTTGCCAAGTAACTCTTCCTCATGACAGTATTCATATATCACTTTATAAACCTCGATTAGAAGTTTTGGGAATCGATCTCTGAAGTAATTATCAAATCCTTCGGGAACTGACCCTAATACTTCCTGAATCTCAATATGGAGCTCTCGATAGTGATTTAACTTGTTACGTATAACACGAAGTAAGTCACGAACACTGTAATACTTGTACCGTCTGTAGCGAGTAATGTTGGTGAGAAATGAACTTTCAAGTTTGTCATCCCATTTTCCGCCCAGGGCCACGGTTGCAGTGGATTCCAACGCTTTCAAGAGGTCAGAATCGATTTCTCTATCTTCTAACTCTACACGATCACTGGCATCTCGAAGAAATGAGAGTCGCTTTTCAGAGTCCCAAAATAATGGATGATGCAATACCACATCAGCTTTTGGTCTGCAATAAGTAATATAAATTTTGTTTTAGGTGTATGAAAATTTAGCCAAACAACAATAACATAATAACAAGGAAATGGACTATAATCACCCATGATTAAAGATACAATAACCAACTACTACTTAACAATAAACAATTATACAAGTAAAGCCGACTTGAAGACAAAAAAGTAAAAATAAGAAAAATGAAAAGGAAGTCTTTACCTCAATTCTGGATTAGGATCTAAGAGATTAGTAATAAGATCCAAAGCTTCTGGAACATCTTCGATCAAAAATAGATCCTTTTCATTCTTTACAATATTGGCATCCCGCTCAAAATTTTCACCAAATGGATGTTTGCCTTTTGTAAGACAGAAGAAGAGAACACAACCTAAACTAAATAAATCCACTGCACGCGTATGGCGACTCTCACGTAATTGCTCGGGTGCTCGCCAGCCCGAACTCCCACTGCCTACAATTTAAAGTCAAGTCGCTCTTAAGTATAGGTGGCATACAGAATTATTCCAAACTAATATTACATAATCACGGAGTATAATATATTCAAGTACTTTGTATAAAACTTAGATTTATAACTCAATACTTTACAAAATTATAGATAAAATACTACTGAGATTTTATAACAATTGACAACAGAGTATCAATATTATTAGTGTCAAGTCAAGAATTTGAGATAAGGGGTCGATACCTCAATACATTTTATTATAACACAAAATAGTTGAATTTTGCCAATGGTTGAGTATTACTTATTAGTTTGGTTGAATAAAAATAATATAAAAACCAAGATACTCATAGTAGATTTTGGTGGATTAAAAGTAAATAATAAAAACTTTCCAAAAAAAAAAAAGAAGAAGAAAAAAAATAGGCTTTAGCTGATTTTTAAGTGAATAAAATGGGACTTTTAGTCAAAGACAATGCTTTTGGGTGAAATTAAACTTTTATTTGAAACATTGTTAATTGATTAATGGACATGAGAAAGAGCTCCTATTTTTAAATAGAAGTTGAAAAAGGTTGCATCAATAAAAGACAAAAATGAGTATATATGTATAGAGCTTTGTTTAGTGCTATTGCCTATTGTGACAATATTTAACAATTAATATAATAGGGTACATTTTTATTCTATAAATCTTTTAACTTTTTTCTATAGAGGCCAACTAAGAACTTGATTGGGCTAAATATTATAACGAGGGATAAACTTATCATGCTAATAGGGGAGCTAGGGAGGGGGGGAGGTTGTGTTAGGAAAATGGAGATGGAAAATGGCATAAGAGAAGGGAGGAGTGTAATTATGAACACAAAATGAGAATAAAGAAAAACTCTATTAGAGGAGCTTCTAGTGAGGGATTGTGCCAACATACAGCAGGCATCTACAAGTGAACAATTAACCACACAAATGTAGATACAAACAAAATACACACCTGTACCATTTTGGGTTACGGAAGACATATCTTCAGGAAGGCGCTTGCTGATGCCCATATCTGAAAGTTTGGCTCTGAAATTTTTATCTTTGATTATCAAAACATTTTGAGGCTTCAAATCTCGATGTATTAAGCTGATTTCATGAAGATGTGCAACCCCTGATACAACATCTCTGAAAGAAGTTTTAAATAGCTTTAGTGTCTAAACATAGAAGCCAATGAGGCTTTAACAATATATTTAATCCATGTTACTACAGCTCTTCAAATCAAATCAGGAGTTCAAGTACCCACATTGCGGCAGTGTACTTAACATTCTAACGTGAAATGGGCATCTAATACTTCATTTATTGGACAAAACATAGAAAATAAACTCATGGGCATCTAATACTACACCACCAAACACTTATAGCTGAATTTGAGTAAAAAAACATTTTATAGCGATAGTAAAGTACTCATGGGTAATTTAGCAGTAGGGCAACTATACAGAAGCAAAAATAAATGGAATCAACAATTTAATTTGTAAGGGTCACGCTGTTTGCTTGATTGAGAATTTCAATGCCAACATAAATAAGCAAAAGCACAAGAATTTTAAGAGATTTCAATTTGGTCAAACTTAACTCTGCTATCGTTTTCGAACCAGGACAACACATTTCTGAGACAGTATATGATGATGTAAGAAAAAAGAAGTCTATCACTAACCTCATCACTTTTAACAGCTGAGTTGAAGGGTATCCATTTGACTTCCATAAGTAGGTGTCATTGAAGGCCTCTATCTTTTCCAGTGATTGTGCAGTGTACGCACTCATGGAGCTGGAAACTCTAGTCTCTGTGCTTGTTGATGCTTGTGAAGATTCAGAACAAACAGATATCAAATCATTTAAACTACATAAACAGCGTTCCAGAGATAGATAAACGAAGTCTGTATCAGATTCCACTCCATAAAATCTGACAATGTTAGGATGCTGATCAGAAGCCATAAGATTCTGAATTTCTTTCAGGGCCACGTCATGATGTGTACGCACAAGACGTTTGACAGCCACAGCGCGACCATCATAAGTACCCTCAAAAACAGCGGTTCCATTGCTTCCCTTCGCAATCTCATATTGTGAAATATATAATTTACCAATCTTCCATCCACCAACGTGAACATCAACTGAACTAGCAAAAGAGGACTCTTTAAGCACTTCAATAGGTGAAAATCCAGCCAAAGAGCTATCATCTGCGTCGAAATTTCTTCCCTTAGCACTATTAATATTGGTGTTGTTAATTCCTGACTTTCTAGGTTTCTTTTTCTTTGATGGTGTAGATTTTGATTTCAAATCCTCACGCTGTGAATGTTCTCGACCAAAGACACTTCGAAAAACAGCAATAACTGCCGTGATCAGTATAAGCCCGGAGAAAATTGGGGACCAGAAAAAATGTTTCGAACTTGATTCAGGATATATAGTGTATCCGCTACGGTGAGCAGAAGGGGGCAAAGCCAGCACCTCGGAGTGGGCAAAGGAATGGGCGCTTTCAGGAGCTGGCAAAGCCAGAACCTGATTTAAATCATGATGAGCATCAGGTGGTTCACTAATTGGCACAGGAAAGTGCAAATGACCAGGACCAGGTAGTTGAAGCTTCCTGTCCCCTGGAAGTGATCTTTGCAAGTCATTAACTAGACCAGCCCCAGAATCCGGCGAAACTAATTCTGAAAATCCACGATCACGGATCCGGTATACAATATTACGTCTTAGACAAGGTTCACAAGCTTCAGATCTTCCGTTGTAGACGGAGCTTAGCTGATCCTGCAAACTATCCACTATGGATCTATCCACCTTTGGACAAAAAGACTCGGCCTCAAATTCAGCAAGTGAGACATTCCATAGAACCTTGCCAGATGATTTTGAGTAGGCTAGAAATGAATAATCTGTCCTTGTAATTGAGATCTGACTTTTACCCTCATCTCTAATTATAACAGGATTTTCACCATCCTCAAACCCCAAACCAGAAGAATCAGAAAACTTTACAGTACGAATTATTGTTCCAGTCTTAGCATCCACTACAAAAACTGTAGTAGCCATTTGACTTATTACAGAAGTTCCATTCTTAGATAATCCTTTTGTCTCCCTAATCAAATCTTTGGCACTCTTGAGCCTCTGTAATGCATGAGAAAATAGCAACTTAGCAACTGTATCAAAGGCAATTTTTATGAATTTTGGAATAAAGATTAAAGACATTGAATGACTACATTTAAGAGCCATAACAGCATAAGGGTTAATTAACTAGATGAGATGTTAATTCATCTATATAGTTAAAGAATTAATCTTTTATGTCTACACTCTATCAAAAAATTCATAAGAAGGCTTTAATATTTACAGCTCATCAAATTAATGACTTTATAAGCCATCTATAAAATTAGCTTTGACATTCAAGTATTGTTTGGACTTTTTCTCACATGTTACATCGTGATCATTCTTCCACAGTAATATAGCACATCAGGTGCTTTCAAATTTACTCAATGACTAACCATTCCAAAGCAACATACTCTATGTAATACTGAAGTTTAAATTAACTGACCTATAATACTAAAAAAAAAAAAAAAAAAAAACTAAGTACATCATATGAAAACAGCCAACAAAAGTGAAAAAGAACCATACTTCTGAATATATGCTCATGATTTACCTCGATGATGCCCTTAGAACGGTCGTGTCTGTACAAAATCCAATCATCTCCACAATCTATATACGTATCATCTCGAAGCCCAGAAACATTCTCTAAATTAAGATCAATATTATGCGAAGCTTGATAGGATGAATAAATCGGAAGTCCTGTCTTAATTGACCACAGGATCTTAAGCGAATTGATCTCGACTAAAGATAAAGTGCCATCCAGAGTAGCAACAAGCACAGTTTCACGTCTGCCATAAAAATAGCATAGTAAATGTTAAACATACTCCTCTCAACAAAAAACAAACAAGTAATCTTGCATGCAGTTTCTGATAAGAAATAATCGATACTAACATCATATAACTTCAACTCTTCAATTAAACAAAAAGGTAAGTAAATCAGCTCAAATTAAGCACCCAAGATTCTTCCATATATATGTTTGAATTGACAAAAACAAGTTCTAAAAGTAGCAATTGGTTCATATAGCCACACAAACACAAAAACCCCACAAAAATTATCACAACAATTAGGAAAATTAAACACCATATACCTTCAATTGAACAAAATTGGAAAGTAAATCAGCTCGAAAGTAAGCACCCCAAATTCTTACATAAATGCAAAACAAGTACTGAAACTGGCAATTGGGTTCATGTAAACCCTAAAAAATTATCACAACAATTAGGAAAATTTCGTTGCCAAAAAAAAAAAATATATATATAGGAAAATTTAAAATCATATACTACGTAGCTTCAATTGAACAAAAAGGTACGTAAATGAGCTCCAGAAATTAAGCACCCAAAATTCTCCCATAATTGTTATTGAATTGGCAGATCAAGTTCTGAAACCAGCAATTGCGTTCATATAGGTTCACAAATTTAAAAAACCCACAAAAAATTAAGACACCCAATCATCCAATTCAACAAGAAATTGACAAGAAATGAACAAATTTAGTAAATTAGAAGAAAAGAAAATAGAGACTAATAGTTACCTGGAAGAAGGAAGAGCAGAAGAAGAAAGATCAGAAGATCGTTTAACCAAGGAGCGAGAATAGAGAGGTTGAGAAATTGATGGTTTAAAAATGGAGAGGAAGAAGAAAGCAATCAACCATAGTACATGAATTAACCATAATTTCATCTTCATCTTTATCGGTTGATAATTATAATGATGAAAAGGGTATTATAAAGAGCATTAGAGGAGTATGAAGGTAAGATTAAAGCAGAGAGTTTGGGGATCGAAGAAGAAAGAGAGGAGAAAATGAAGGGTTTTGGAAGATCGAATTCAATCAATACAACTGGTCAATACCAAGATTGAACCACCACGCCCTATCGTCCTCCGTGGGAAATTTACTAGGGCCTAGGGGTAATTTTTTTTAAACAATATTAATAAGTGAATGGATGTAAGACTCTATTCGTTGGGCGTGCCCCGGTTTCTCTTCTTGAGAAACAAGGAGAGTATCTCTAATGGCATTTGTGTAATTAAAATGCATTGAGAATTGTAAATTCATGGTACGAGTATTAAAATCAGAAGAAGTGCTGACTGTAAACTCCACTATAGTTGATGACTTGGACTAATCTAGACGGCGTCATAGCAGTGTTAGGATTCCATTGTAGCTTCGTCTTTCACCTCCACCAACAACAAACGCCAACATCATCACCTTCCTCTTTCGTCTTCACCGACACCACCTTCTTCCTCTTTCGTCTAAATCGTCTCCACCGACGACAACAATCATTATCGGCGGCGAAAAACCCTATAAGAAAGGGTAAAATTTATGGCATGGTCAACCCCAAAGGGTAAGGGTGACCGTCTTCCATTCTGTGTCATCGAACTCGAATTTCTCCATTCAAACTCGGATTCCTCCATTGAAGTTTATTCCTACTGTTAGTTGTTCTTTTGGTCGACACCTCGGATTGACCTCCCGTTTTCGACGAGTAATCGCCGAAGGTGGAACTAGGTAATCTGGGCAGTAGCAGTACTGAGTCTACTGCAAAAGCCAAAAGGGGGTAAGTTGAACAAGGGGTGAGTAGTGAGTTGAACAAGGGTCGGAATAAGGCGTTAACAAGCCTGTCAACTTCAAAATAGACAGAATTTGTAAAAGTCGCTTTTACCCTTAACTGTTCACGGGGTAATTCCATATTTAACCTCATGAGAAACGCTTCTTGTTTCTCAAGAAAAAGAAACTTGGAATTAAATAAAATCAATACTTTTTCTATTAAAATATTACTATACAGCTACATTTATACTACACATGATTAAATGCAAAAAATAAAAATAAAAATGGAAATGACCTAAAATTTTAGATTAATATAAAGAGTGAATATTATGTACGTAGTACCTTATAATTATAAAGTCAATATAAAAGATAGAAGAAAAAAGTACCTAAAATAAACTTTTAGCTTGTAATTATTTTAATGGACTTATAAGTTAAAAAAACAAATGAATATGATAAATAGGTGGTAAAATTTATTCACTTTATGTTACAAAATCAAATAATAATTGAGGAAATATTAGAGTGTATTCTATTCACCTGATTTTTACTTATCTGAACTTATTAGACCTTATCAAAATTTATTTTTGTTGTAATTTGAATTTGGACAACCCCTATCAGAACTTATTTTTCCTGAACTTAACTTATCTGAACTTATTAGACTTGAAATAAATGAAAATAAGGTGAGCAAACCCTTACTCTGTATAATTGCTAGATTCTTATTGAATCTATAAATACTAAAATCCAAGAAATCACCATTAGTGTGATAAATTTCTTGCTAATTAGAGTTTATAGTATTGTGCAATTACAAAGGAGTTGAGTTAAGAAAAAATTAAATAGTGAGGTTATGAATAATTGAATATGAAGAGTTTTTCCAATTAGACTAAACATTATTATAGAGAGGTTATATATATGAAAAGTTTTTCAAGTAGCTAGGTTAAACATTATTAGTCTCTATATCATATTTTCATGCCATGGAAAAAATAAAAAAATAAAAAAGAAAGTCTTATGCGACGCCATGTCATGCCCACATCAAGATGCTACATTTTTTTTTTTTTTTGAAAAATTGCTAAAAACAATATAACCTTTAGCCCATTCTTTTTTAGTAATACAACCTTTTGATTATTTTGTAATAACACAACCTTTAGGGGGTGTTCATTTTAACAAGACAAATTCAAATTTTCGGTGGGTTTTAAGGTGGAGAAGGGGATATTCCCCCCCTTCCCCATTCCCACCACCAAAAACTCATCCCTCCCCTTTCCTAACCTCAAAATCCACCGAAAACATATAATATTAAAATTATTTATGCATTAACAAATTACGTATAATTATTTATAAAATAACAAATTATGTGTAATTACGTTAATATTATATTGCACATAGTTAGATCATATAATAATGTGTATTGATACATTACTGAAAATTTGCATATTATTTTTCTCATATTAAATAATTCATGTTAAATAAATCATTATTTCTTCATTTTATAAAAAAGGTTAAAAATAATTTTTAGTTAAATACAAGAGGGGTCAATTGACCCCGTTTCTTTGAATTTAGATCCGCCCCTGTTTTGAACAGTGAAAGGACATGCTTGATGTGTAGATGAAGATCAACATGACCTTTGTCCTCGGGAGTTACAATTTGAATTAGGAATTAGATTTGTTTCTCTATTATAACACTCCGTACTCTTTTCTTGATTTAACATACCTTATTTCTTTCTAGGCTACTTATTACAAAAAGGTTGAGGTTGGAATCCTACCACTTGATGTTTTCGAGATGGTTTTGAAAATTGAACAGGATATACAATCTTAGGATTGGATTTTTTTCAATAATTCAGATGATGGCAGGAGCTCTCACCAGTATCCAACAAGAGCATGCCATATGTAAATATATCTATTATATCCAAATACACCTGCCTTAGTCTTGTTGTATCAAATAAAAAAACGAATGTAATCACAAAATAAGACATGCAGAATTGCAAAGAGCATTAGTTCAATCCATACGTCTCTTTGATGAATTTAATGAACTCGGGAAGTGTTGTATAGTCATCTGAACTAAGCCTTTGGATTTTCTCATTTTCCTTAATGCCCCCTTAATTGTATAGCAACTCTATCAAATACAAATGCAGAAAAGTGTTCATGCTTTTTAAGGGAGCAGAATGGTTTTGCAGAGTAAGTCCTAACACGAAAAATAACTTACTGCGTCCCTTCTATGTGCTCGATCTTAACCTTCTTTTCGTAATTCATCATAACTTCATAAGTGTCTCGCTGAATCTACCCTAATGAACTTGTAAAATATTTGGTTTAACAAGTTGTCTACCAACTCTACCCTAATCAAAATTTTAGGATACGCCCCAGATCCTCATACCCCCATAATAACATAGGTGACAAAAGCACAAGATTGATCAGTTTAAAGTACAAACATTCAATTAGTAATTCTTTAAATAAAGAATAAGAGAAGTGAAAGACAAATATTAAGCATAGAAGTATAGAACATAAATCTTAAAAGGCCATTTTTCTGCAACATAAAGGACAATAAGTAATGTCAAGTTTGAGGAAAGTTAATTATTTACTTGAATGAGTAATCAATAATCTCTAAAGCTTTCAAGCAGTTCATAGCACCAACATCATTATACATCATCAATTTAAACCACAACATTGTTCAAAAAGAAAATAAATTTATTGATTGAAATTGTTCAATATAAAAAGGAATTAAACAAGATAATGAAATAGTTGTAAAAGCAAAAATCATGACATATTTGTTCCTAGTTGTAGTATCGTTACTCATGGAATAGCAGGGACGACTTGACAGAGAAAAGCATCCATCGTTACTCATGGGATGGGAATTCTGGAATTGAATACGGGATGGCAGGGACTTCAAAGAGAAAAGCATCGGCCCAAGTGTAGAAGTCACTATTAGCAGATTGATCAACCACCTCTAAAGTCCCGATTTCCAAGTTCCATAAAACAATCAAACCTTTGTAGCTAAGACTAAGATACACCATGTTTGGATCGCCAGGATGAAGAGTTAGCACACCATACGCCTTGCACTTGTTAGTCAATTCAGTAGTGCACTTCAAACTAACCTTTTTCACTAGACTCCAGTTAGAGCCATGTTCAAGATTCATGTTCAAGCCATGGTTGGTCTCTGCTGGTGGATTCATGTCAAGATGCATCTTGTAAGAGCCATCAGCTTGGTACTTACATGTCACCACGGGTTCAGGAGAACCCGAGAATATGTTCTCCATAGGTGGATCTATGTCAGCTTCAAGCTTATAAGTGCAGGGATCATACACAAGGATACTTTGTCCAACTTGCACATGAAGCTTGTCTTTGTAAGTAGCCTTTGTAAGTAATTACGCGTCTAGGAGAATAATTTATCATGTTCCAATAAGCACCAAGACGAGTAACGGTCCTGGTGGTCCACTGTCCAGTCTCGGATGAGAAGATATCAACATCAAATTTTGATTCATCAAAATATGAAGATCCGAAAGCACGGAGGATCCTAAAGCTGCAAGCAGGGTTCAAGATAACACCTCCTTGGTCGTCAATATCGTAGTTGGGATCACAAACAAAACCAACAGGAGAGAAACCGCGTACAGATTCACAGGCAACGGAGGCAGGTGGAATGGAGGCCCATTGTTTTGTGACAGGGTTACATACATAAAACACAACTCTATCTCCTTGAAAACCATTAGAGCAAAGAAGCAACCCATTACAAGATGACATGATGATCCCATGATCTCCTTTTTCTCCTTGATAACAAGGAAGGTAATCCAGAGATATCTTTAAATCACTTGTTGCGTGAGTTATCAATATTTGGTTCTTGTAATAATCGAATTTAAGTTCATCACCATTCATTTTTATTTCTTCCATGTTTATTTCACCCTGCAATTAAATAAACAAATTAATTTTCAATTAATTATACCGATCAATGTATTCATACAATCATCATATTATTAAAATTAACAGCAAAAAATTCAACTTATCATTTGTGGGTTTCAGATTCTCGTATCTCGTTTTTAATTAGCGAAAAAAAAAATAAAAAAATTTAACCAGTTATATCGATTGAATTATGTGAACAACAAAAGATATAATTAATTGGCAAAAATCCAAAATTTAAGTTCATCAACATTCATATTTATTTCTTCCATATTTATTTCAACCTACAATTAAATTAAACGAATCAATTTTCAATTAGTGCCATATTGATAGCAGGACAAGTAAATTATACCGAGCGATGTAAATTCATACAATCATCAATTACTCATCATATTATTAAAATTAACAGCAGAAAATTCAATATTTAATATTTGTGGTTTTCAAATTCTCGTATTCCGTTTTTAATTATCAAACAAAACGAACCAGTTATGTCGATTGAATTATGAGAACAACAGAAAATATAATTAGTTGTGGCAAAAATCCAAAGTTTGAAGTAATATACAATCAATTACACTAAACATGGAATCAATCAAATTATAAATATAAACATGCAATCAATCAATTAAATATATACATGCAATTTACAAGTAAATATGAAGAATAATCAATAAATTACGCAAAACAAGCAAACGAGCCAAAATACCTGCAGACTTGAATGGATATGTATTTGGTTCATTACAGTGTTCTTACCCTTTTTATAAGGAACGGATAAAGATTGTACTATTTGGTTTGGACTAGGAGTAAATGAGTAATAGAGTTTAAGCAGTGTTAAAC